TTATTGATTGATTTCTTTCTTTTTTTTTCTTTGGTTGATTTCTCGATGACAGCCATTCTTTCCCGGATGAGATGGAATCTCAGTGTTGTTTTAATTTGCATCTCTTGAATGAGGAGTGATGTTGAACTTTTTTCTTTTTTTTTTTTTGAACTTTTTTCATATCTTTGCCATTTCTCTTTCTCCATCTGAGAAGTATTTATTCATTTCAGATGCCCAGTTTTGCACTGCACCCATTTATAATTCCAAGACAGGGTCTCACTACCTGCCCGGGGAAGGCCCCTTGGTGCTCCTCCTGTCTCAGCCTCCCCAGTGTACCACCACCCCGTACAGAAGCTTTCCCAAAGCCAGTGATGGGGTGGCTGTGACTCCAGCCAGAGGGGTGAGAGTAAGGCAGCAGGAAGGGCTGCCTAAAGTGAAGGAGCCAAGTAAAAGATCGAGGGTCTTCTCTAGAGGACTAAGAGGACCTAATGCGCCCCCTCAGCATCTTTCTGTCCTTCTCCCTGCACAGCCAGCAGCAGCTGCTCACTGCTGGTCCTTCCCCGCTCCCTCGGGGCCCTTTTGCTGGGTTAAAGCAGAGGGATGGGTCCATATATAGCCCAGGACAACCTTTGTTTATTTTTTGAGACTATGTCTCACTCTGTAGCGCAGGCTGGCCATGAAGTCACTAATGTAGCCCTCAGACTCTTGGTAATCCTCCTGCCTCAGCCTCCTGAGTGGTGAGATCACAGGTGTATGCTAGGGCACTCAGCAACTTTCATCTGGACCAGAGCTGAGGCTTCCTACTGCCTCCCCACCTCTGGTCAGTAGAACTGGGCGTGGTGCACAGGTCTGTAATCCCAGCACTCGGGAGGCTGAGGCAGGAGGATCACTGTGAGTTAAAGACCAGCCTGGGCTACAAAGTGAGCTCAAGGCCAGCCTGAACTGCGTAGGGAGACCCTGTCTCAAAAAAGACAAAAAAATTAAAAAAAAAAAAAAAAAAAAACAACTCAGTAGGCTGCCAGAAAGTCCCCCTGAGTTCCCTGATGCCCACCAGGACACAGCGAGCTCCAGTATCAGATCTGGGCTTGCAATTTGGCTGTGTCTCTATCTCCTGACCATGTTGGAGCCTCAGGTGACTCATCTGAAAAATGGGGCAACAGTGCCTGCTTCCCACAGTTACTGCCATGAAGAAGAAGGAACCAAACAAGAGCTGCTGGCTCAGGGAGAGGCTGGCTGTACCTGTTGTTATCTGCGGCGGCGGGGATCGCACCTGGGGCCTGGCTTATGCCGGGCCACATTCTCCCACCGAACCACATCCCAGCCCCGCGCCCAGAATCACACAGTGGGCAAAGCCGTAGCCTGCACAGCACACAGTGCACGCAGGAATCAGGCGACAGGAAGGACAGGAAGGACTTCTCAGCTCCCCTCCAACCTGCTGCACAGGTGCAGCTGGCACTCGCCAGCAGTGACTCGCCGGCCCTCGCTGAGACCTCTTCCCGTGACCTTGGTCATGCTGTCCGTGCTGCTGGGCTGCTCCTGCCCACCTGGCAAACTCCTACTCATCAGTCAGGACCTCACACAAACCTCCTTCGCGCCACCATCCTCCATCCGCGCCCATCTGGGCTTCCTCTCCTGGTCTGCAAAATGGGTGTGATGACAGCAACTTCTGCCCAGGCTGTTGGGAGCTGCACTGGAGCTTACCACGGGCAAAGACTCAGCTCCCATAGCAGACTCGAGGAAATGTCTGCGAAGGGTCAGCAGCCATGACTGCCATCCTGGCCTCTCCGGCCTCTCAGGGCAGGGCTCCATCTCACCTCTGTCTCCCTGCCAGCCTTGCACACAGTAAACACTTGGCCCCTCTACCTGGATGGTCATGAATGCTGTCTTTATTTTTAAATTTTTAAAATTATTATTATTTTTTGAGACATGGTCTTCCTCTGTAGCCCAGGCTGGCCTTGAACTCACAATGATCCTCCTGCCGCAGCCTCCCGAGTGCTGGGATTACAGGTGTACGCCACCATGCCCAGCCCCGGCTATACTACTTTTAAAGGCAGAATCTTAAAAAATATTAAACTCTCTGTAGAAAATAAATGATCTGTATGAGCTGAGCTGGGAGCCTTCCCATTTTACAGATGAAGACACTGAGGCACAGAGGTTCGTGCCTTAGGGCCACAGCCCTCTTGGCCCAGCTGATTCCAACCAGCCCCTCCCAGCCTCAGTTTCCTTAGTATGCAATGAGGTGACTGCAGATCTCCCCACATCTCAGGTGTAGCCATGGACTGATGCGTGTCATCGAGGGAAATTGAGCCTAGGGTTGGTGTCCCTCTGTGAACTAGGTAATGCTTTGTCGGGGACACAGACAGCTCTTCCGGGGTGAAAGTGAAGAGTAGCTGCGGCTCCAGGGGCCTGGCGCTCCATTCAGCTTTCTCCCGGTCTGTCTGTCAGGAGCCCAGACCAACTCAGCCACCTCCCCACCCCGACACTTCGTGGGAGCACTGCCGGCCCTCCCCGCCCCCACACGCTGAGGACAATGGTGGGCGGCCACCTCCCTCGGTGCAGGGGTCAGGCCACTTCTCTCGCGGGGCTGGGGACAGGGCAGGCTGCCGAGGGGACAGGAAGGAGCCGAGGAAGGAGCCGAGGACGCTGGAGGCGGGGGGGGGGCCCAGAAGTCAAAGCCTGAAACAGGCTTTGGGGAGCGTTTCCTCCGAATGTAGATTTGAGCTCCTATTAAACTTGCCAAAAATTTGTGTTAGCTAATGGATTCTTAATTCTGTCTAAAATGAGAGAGGGAAAATTATGCCATTCATCTTGTATTGGTTTGAAATTACATCTGACACCTAATCGATCATACTGTGGAACATTAACTCTTTGGAAGAGACCCAACTTTTCTCCTCTCCCTCGCTTTCCAGGGCTCTGGAGCCGCCCCCAGCCTTGATTCCTTCCTTTGTATTTCATTAACTAAGCAAAGCTCGGGCTGTCTCTGGGGGTGAGGGGGTGGCGTGGGGGAAGGGCTCCTCAGGGTGGAGGGAAACAGCCAGGCCCCCCAATCCTTGGCCCATAACCAGAGCCCCCTTCCAACCTTCAAGTGACCTCCTCTGCTGTCCTGCTTTCCCCAAACATTCGGAGATGTGGAGGCGCAGGGAGCAGGCGCTGGGGTGTGGGGTGACCTCAGAACCACCTTGGGGGCACCAGGCAGAGGCGGGGAGCCAGGCAGGGCTGCGCTGGCCCCTGGGGCTGGGGCTGGGGCAGGGGCCATGGCGGGGGGCTCACCTGCGACTTGTCTGGCAGATGGGTGAGGAAGAGGAGGGCAGATGACAATAGATCTGCCTCTGGGGATCCTGATAGCTCTGACTGCAACCCCAACTCCAGACTTGCTTTTCCGGGAGGAGGACTTGCTGGCAGCAGGGAGAACCAGCGGAGGCCGCCGGGCCGGGCTGGGAGCCTGGCCTCGCTCCTGATGAGCTGTGTGACCTTGGCCAAGTTACATAACGCCGAGTCTCAGTTTCCTTCCCTGTCAGAACAGAAGGCGAGCCCTGCGGTTCGCGAGCGGGGTGGGGACAGCGTGCCAGAGTCCAGGCCAAACCGGGACAGAGCCTGTCGCCTGGGACGCAGCAGGACCGATAAAGGTGACGAGGGAGAGTCCAGATCACCACGCCCTCCCGGTGCTCTCGCCTCCCACTCCGAGGTCCCTGCCAGAGGGCAGATGAGGGCTGGCTGCCAGTGCTTCCTCCTCAGAGGGCAGCCCCTTCCTGCACAGGGCTGCCCCAAAGACCGTGGGGGCTGCTTCCGCGTGGCGAGCTCCCTCACATCCCCTACCCTCAGGAAGGGTCCCCAGGCGATGAGACCAGGGGAGAGGGCACTCTACACGGAACAGGGCCACTTGCTCTCACTTGGGCCTCTCGGACCTCTGCCCACGGGGCTCTTAGTAGTAGGAAGTGGCACTGAGGGGCTGAGGACAGGGCAGCCAGCCGGGGATGGCCGGTGGGGAGACTGAGGCAGCCGTGCACAGGGGTTCCAAAGTGCCCCTGTCCCCATTTTGAGTATCTCATTTTAATAGAATTTTAGCTGGGTGTGGTGGTACACACCTGTAATCCCAGCACTTGGGAGGCATGTGGATCCTAGAGATCCCACCAGGAGGATCTCCATGAGTTTGAGGCCACCATGGACTATACAGTGAGTTCAAGGCCAGCCTGAGCTACATAGTGAGAGCCTGGCTCAAAAAAAGTTTTATACGAGTCCATGCTTGCAGTACATCGCGATGACATTTTCCATGCGGGGTTCGCGCACGCGCAGAACACATTTCGTCCCCTTCCCATCGGCACACTTCACTGGGGAGGCGTGGTGGGCTGGGCGTGGGTTGGGTTCGTCCCTCTAGAGCAAGGGACAGCACAGGGAGCAGGCAGAGGTGAGGATGGAGGGCGCAGGGACATCACCCATGCCTCTGTTTCCCAGGAGGTGTGATGGTGCTCCCTCGGCGTGGTTTGGGACACTATGGGAAGAGGGTCCTTCGAGAAGCGGTCACCAATGAAAAGACACGGCAGGCAAGTGGCCCCGGGTGCAAGACAGCAAGAAGGAGCCGCGGGCCTGGGGCCTGGGGACCTCCGTAACCTCTGGACCTCTTTTGTGGGTCTGACTTTGAAATACCAGGTGCACAGGCTCGAGGCAAAGGCCAGGCCGAATTAAGCCACTTGTCAAGGTCATGCAAGGAACTCTGAGCTCTGTCCCAAGTACAGGAAGGCAGGGCCTCTGGGGCAGCCCCTGGAGGGTGGGGAGTGATAGGGTGATCTCAACTGGCACCCTCACTTTACAGAGGAACAACCTAGGCCTGGGGAAGGGGGGGTCTCTGACACTTAACCCAGGGCTCTCCCCACCTACACCCTGAATCGAAGGCCACTGTCCAGACCCAGCAGAGCCGAAAGGGAGGCAGGAGAGCTGCTGGGAAAGGCTTCCCTGAGGAGAGGAGATGAGGGGCTGGGGAGGATTCTTAACTCCTCTCCCACCCAACGCACACACGAAGCACACAACGCAGGCAGGACTTTTATTTGCAAATGTCCCTTCTCTGGGGAGCTTGCTGTTTCCCAGGAGACGCCTGGTGGAGATGCCTCTTCCTGCCAGCCTCCCTGGCAGCCACTAGGCGGCTGTGGCTCCCTCTTCTGCCTGGAGACACCACGGTGAGGGGCCCACGTGGCTCCTATTAGCAGGAAGTGGCACTGAGGGGCTGAGGACAGGGCAGCCAGCGGGGATGGCCAGCGGGGAGACTGAGGCAGCCATGCACAGGGCCACTTGGCCAGGAGTCCTGCACAGCCTGGCCGGTCCCTACCCATGCACTGAGTGCCTCCGCTTACCAGAGGGAAACACCCTCCCTGGCGTCTTCCCTCCCAAACTGGGGCTGCTTCTACTGTGATGAACCTAAAAATAATGCGCGATTATTGTAAAAGTAGGTAATCCCGGCCAAAGGGGATGCACGAAGGCCCCAGACTCACATTCCAGGATCTGTCTTTTCCATAGGAAAGTAATTCGACTCTGGTTGAATAGTCCAGGGCAAGAGTGCCACGCTGGCGGAGGGGAGACAGCATCACAGCGCAGAAGGTTCTAGAAGCTAGAAGGCCACCCTGCAGCAGGCACCCCGTACTGGAGAGGCTGCTGTGTGCACCTGGCCGTCACCCTCTAGGAGGTTAGCGGGGTCACAGTGCAGCTCTGAGCACCCCATCTATGCCTGCCCCCCACTCCCATCTGCCAGGGGGTACCACGTGCCCACACCGCTTGGAAGAATAAATGAACCCCAGAGGAAACAGGCCCAGAAATGGACACCGAGGGCAAGAATGACCTCAGGCATGCTCATGAACAAACACTGCCACAGGTCTGGGGGGAAACGGCCTGGAATTCTCTGCCATTGCCCTCTTTCCCAAGGCTGAGGGGGACTAAACTTGGGAGTTGCTCAAAAGGGTCACAGCCATAGAAGAAATGTCCCAGGCCTGGCCTAGGAAGGACAAGGCTGAGGCACTGGGGGAGCCGCCAGGGTCTGCAGGCAGACAGAGGTCTATGGAGAGATGGCAGGTGTGCGGGGGAGCAGGCTGTGTATTTGGACACTAAGTCCACGCCATGCTGTGCGGGGGACCACAGCAGTTCCGCCCCTGTACCTTGACAGGGGGCAGCTTGGGCTGGGGATCTAAACATACAAGGGAGACTCACCTCCCGCCAGAGAGCCCCCAGGACAGCACAGGGGTGCGGGCAGCCCTCAGCTGGCTTTCTACTCTGGCCAGGGAACTTAGGTAGGGTCCTGACGACCACATGTGACCTGTTATTCCATGGAGCCATTGACAAATCAGAGGCCTCAAACCCATTGTGCAGATGAATAAATCAAGGCTGGGAAAGGTAAAGCGACTTCTTCAGGTCACAGACAGTGCCACTGCTTTGGGGGTGGGGACCCTGCTAGAGCTGGGGGCCCGGCCTGCGGCTCAGCCAAGTCTCCAGCCTCCCTGTGAGCTCGGATCCTTGCAGCTCACCCCTGCCTCCCCTTGGGAGCTGTACTGAAGATGCCTAAGGGAGGCTGGGACGCGGCACGTGTCACCCTGCCTCGGCCTGACCGCTGTTCCTCAGAGATGTCACCTTTTCCGTTCTGCCAGGCTCGCTCTCCGCCAAGTTCTCAGTCTGTCCCCGCGCTCCTTCTGCACCCCAGCCCTGCGCATCCTCCTGGGCAGGGGCAAGGGCCGCCAGGACCGCTGCGAGCCGGGCTGCGGGCGGCGAGCCGGGAAGGGGCCCGCAGATGCTGCCTCCGCCCCCCTCCTCGGCCGGGGCCCCCACGGTGTCGGGGAGCAGGAGGAATCAATCAGGATAATGAAGCCGCAGCCTGCCACGCACCGCGGGGGCACCAGGAGTGGGGGCCGGTGCCAAGTCCGCCAGACGGTTCGGAGCAGCCGAGCCCGCGGCCGGGCGGTGGCGGCGGCGGCGACGGCGGCGGAAGCGCGGAACCGCGTGCTAGGCCTGGACACCGCCCTACGCAGCCCCTGGCAACCGCGCCTTGGCAACCGGACGCCCAGGAGAAATCTTAAAGCCGCAGCGCCTCTTTTCCCTGCCACCGTCACCGCCGCCGGTTCCCAAGGGGGAAAGGGTCCTACGGAGGAGGGCTCAGGCCGGCAGTCAGGACTAGGGGGTCTGACTCCCACCCTCGCTCGCTTATTTATTGAGGGCATATTGGGCCTGCATGCCCAAGCGCGGGCTAGACGCTGGGGAGGGGAACGCGCGGTGATTAAAAATGAACAAGATCCTGCCAAGAAGAGTTCACAGTCTAGCGCGCAAGGCAGACCAGACTGGCGGAGGTGAGCAGGAGCCGGTGCTACCCAGGACGGAGGGGATTTGGCTGGAGGGCTGAAGGGCTGTTACAGAATATTCCTGCAGCACCTGCCACTCCAAGTCGTGGCTTGGACGCTTTCTCCCCGGGCTCTGCTCTGTCGCCCTTCCCGCCAGCAGCCCCGCGAGACGGGCGTTCTCATTATCACCTTTACCCGTCCCGCCTTACACATGAAGAATGAGGGGGCCAGAGAGGTGAAAAGACTTAGCCAAAAACCTCATTTTACTTTTTGCAGACTCCAGGGCCTGGGCCACTGACCAGTTGCGGTTGTGCTTACCTGGAAGGGTTAGAGCTGAGTGGGGACTTCCCAATATGATGTAAGAAATGAGGCTGGAGAAAGGGACCGGGAGGAGGAGGTGGCCACCTCGCCCTCTGCCACGCACTGACCTGACCCTGTCTGATCTGCCCTCCTGGGCCGGCCTGGGTGTGGGCAGAGGGCTTGGAGAGGTGACTTCCAGATGTCCCTCCGCTTCGGTTATCTGCTAGTTCCTGCCTGAAGTCTAGGCACCGTGCCACCCTTCCAGGCATCAGTAGTTGGCAGGGGCTGAAAACTAAGGGGGATTCCAGGCTTTTGAAAGAAGGGTCAGAGCTGGAGGGGGTTAGAGAGGGGTAATAAGGGGGCTTTGGCACAAGAAAGCTTGAGTCACAATCACTGGAGGCTGGGCCTCGTCCTCTCGACTCTGTGCACCTACCCCTCGATTGCTGATGTCCACTTGGGCAAGAAATCGGTGCCAGGGGCTGGGACAGGTTCAGAGGCTGTTGGTGAAGAGAAAAGCTCACAGGTTTTAGAGCCAAGCTCATCTGGTTTTCAGCTCTATCATCTCCCAGCTATGTGATCTTCAGTGCTGAATTCAATCCCCTTGAGCCTTGGCTTCCGCATCTGTAGGATAGAAACATTCATGTCTAACTCTCAGGGTTAATGTGAGACTTAAATAAGATGAGAAAAAAGTACAGCTATGTTTGCCAGAGGGTAGACTTAACAACTAGGGTAAAATTTAAAACATCATTGTTGGCCGGTTGTGGTGGCACACTTCTGAATCCCAGCACTCAGGAGGCTGAGGCAGGAGGATCGTTGCAAGTTCCAGACCAGCCTGGGCTACAAAGTGAGCTCAAGGCCAGCCTGAACTGCACAGGGAGACCCTGTCTCAAAGAAGACAAACAAACAACAACAACAACAACAAAGTCATTGCTTTTTGGTAGTCTGATAATACTCTTAAAAGCTCTATCCAGCCAGGTGTGATGGCACACACTTGCAATCCCAGCCCTCGGGAGGCTGAGGCAGGAGGATTGATGCAAGTTCAAGGCCAGCCTGGGCTACATAGTGACTTCAAGGTCAGCCTGAACTACACAGCAAGACCCTGTCTCAAAAAAAAAAAAAAAAAAAAAAAAAAAAAAAAAGTGCTGGGGATATAGCTCAGCAGTACAATACCTACCTGGCAAGCTTGAGGTCCTGAGTTCAATTTCTGGTACCAAAAAAAAAAAAAAAAGGTCTGTCCATGCCTGATTCTGTCCAGGACTTGTGAATGTTACCTTATCTACAAAAAGGGGCTTTGCAGATGTGATTAAGAGTCTTGAGGGGCTGGGGATACAGCTCAGCAGCACAAGCACCTGCCTGGCAAGTGCAAGTTCCTGAGTTCGATTCCTGGTACCAGAAAAAAAAAGAATCCTGACATGGGGAAGTTATTCTGGATCATCTAGCTGGGCTTGAAATGCCACCAGGGACTACAACAGGGAGGGCATTCTCGTCTCAGGAAACTGGGTAAAGGCATGGGGTGGGAGAAAACGCTGCCTTCAGGAAACTGCCCAAACTTGGAATGGCAGGTGCATGGAGGTGTGGAGGGTGGCAGAGGCAAGAAAGCCAAGGGCCTTGGCTTCCACCCCAGAACAGAATCAACCCCTCCACCCTGCACTGGCACTGGGCTCCAGATCGCAGAACCCCAGACTGCCCGTGCTGGAAAGAAGCCTTAGGTTCCATCCAGGATGGTCTTCCATTTCACACGTAGGGAAACTGAGGCCCACAGGAAGTAGTTCATCCACAGAATAAGCTAGAGCCAGATGGCCACACTCCGTCTTCTCTCCTAAGCCTGGGTGTCCCATGTCTAGGGGGGCCAGAGATGAGGCCTAGAGGTCCCTTTGCAATCCACTTCCAAAAAGCACAGGCCTTGTGGTGTTCCAAACAAAGAGGGTGTTATTTGCATATTATTTGCATGTTGCTAATTAGATGAGAGGCAGAGTCATTCAGCCCCTGCCCTTCTTGTTCCCTATACCACCTCACTCACATGGAATTCTTCTTCCTCATCCATTCCTCGACCTTGACAACTTCCCCCCGGAACTCCAGCCCACGCCTCACCCTCAAGTCCCCTGCCCTAGCTCCCCCTGCTCTGAGGCTTTGGTCCTGCCCAGGAGAGTTGCCTGGTGTCTTCAGGGTACGGAGTCTGGGTGGAGGATCCTGGGGTAAGATTATAGCAGAAAGGGAGAGGATGGGAGTTTTCTCTGGGAATGGGGAGCAGTGAGCTCTGTCTCCCTGTAGCCCAGGCGCCATCTGAATGGGGCCATAGGAGTGGGGGAGGACAGTACTCCTTGGGGATCTGGTGGGCAGGTGCCAGCTGCATGCCCCAGGCCTGCCCCAAGCCTTTGGCAGGCAGCCACACTAACCCCTGAGGGTTGTCTACTTCTTTGAGAGAGGAAGAATGTTGGGGAAGGTCTGGGAGCATCCCTTGGCCTGGCAGCCCAGGGTCAGATTGAGGTCACTGTGCAAGAGACTGTGGAGCCTTCCACCCAGATTCTTGAGGCTGCCATTAACTAAGACGACTGTGAAATATTATGCTGAAGTAAGCATGGTGTCTGCCTCCTGGAGAGGAGGCACTAAATATTTTCCGATAATGAGGAGCCACCTGTCTCCTGGAGACAAATAAGGAAAAGGGGTCACAGAGAGCCACAGGCTGTGCCCAGCACCCCTTGCAGGTGACATATCTGAGCCCATCAGCTGGTGGTCACCAGAGAGGACATCATACTGTGGCCAGAACAGGTACAAAGCACAACCCCTGATGTCCCCTGCTGCGATCCGGGGCTCCATCCCCACAGCTGACTCAAAGTGGCTGCCAGGAACTGGGACATTAGGGTCCATGGAGAACTCCAGGGTGCAGTTCAGGCTAGCAATGCACCAACTTATTCTGCATTAGGACAGTGGCTCAGAAACGGGAAGCAAGTGGAACTGATTCCCCTCATGCACGGATGGTCTGTGAGCTTATGTGGATGTGTGCTACGGGGGTCTCAGCTACCACCCAACCAGCCCCGTGCACTGATGTGTGCACACAGCCAAGCGTGTGTGAGGCCTATGTTGTGTACGAGTGTCATTGTGGAATTCCACCTTCTCTCTTCCTGTTCTGGGTACAATGGGAAGTAAAGAGTCCTCAGTTTCATCATCCCCAGCCCTGCTCCCCTGCCCGTGACAGCAGGCAGTGGGTCCCTCCTTGGTCCTGGGTGATGGACCCCAGCTCTCTACTGGTCTGTATAACCCTGGTTTGTACTGGCTCCTTTGTCCTGATTGCTCCCTCTCCCCTTCATGGTCTTAGGCCACCACCCCCTCTAGAGTCCAAACCAAAGGGAGCAGTGGGAGGAAGTCAGGGTGGTGCTGTGAGGGTGGGAGGAAGAAGGGTGAATCAGATACTGTTCGATTTTGCCTGGGTCCCCTCGGAGCACTGCTGCTCATTTAAAATTCCGATTTAAAGCCGAGAGCGGCTCTTTAAATTTCCACATTAGCATGCCGCCCTGATGCCAGGCCAAGATGTTGGGATGGATTTGGCAGGAACGCCTCCAACAGCGGCAAGCAGCAGCAGTTGCCAGCAATAAAACAACGCATGAATAAAAGAAGGCCGCTTGGCAGCGGCAGCGGCCCAGGTAGCTGGGTAAGCCCAGGAGGGGCTCTCTGATGTCGGGGCTTGGAGGCATGAAGGGCTGCATGGGGGCCTGGGCAAGTGCAGGCCCCGTACCCCATCGATGCCTGCAGTGGAATGTGGGGTGAAGGCCCCGGCAAGATCGGGGTTTCTCCCTTGTGCCTGTTTCTCCCCCTCCCTCCAGGGTTATCTTCTTGGAGGGGACAGATGTTGCCTTTGATGAGGACACAGGACTTGGCCCGCAGCCTGAATCATCCTGCTTCAGTAGGGGCCCAGAGAACAGGTGGGGTCAGACAGAGAAACATTCCCTAGAATGGCTCCAGATTCATGACCCCAGATATCGGGGTGCGAGGGGTACCATCCAGGGAAGGAGACTGGGTGAGAAACTGCCCTGAGGACTGGGAATTGGTGCTGAGCTGAGTCACAGAGATGCTCCAGGTTGGCAGGTTGACAATTATCTGCGTGCTTGTACCGTGCTTGGGGTCAGGCATAGCCAGGAAGGGCAAAGTCACCAGCCTGGCCTAACCTTAACTCCTTCAGACCTGTTTGAGGTCAGACAGCAAGGGCAGCAAAGAAGTCAGCCAAAGCCCTGGGCCGGAGGCTGGACACCTCCTAGAGGCCACCTTGTGTACCCTGCTTCCCAGCGGGTACAGGACCTGCCATCCCTGGACCCTGTGTTCTCCGCTCTGGTCACCTGGCGCTGCTCAGTGCTCAGCTTCCCGGGCATTTCAGGGAACAAGCAGCCGGTCCTGCTCCGAGTAAACTGCCCCTCCTGCTGGGTTTAACCAGCTCCTTCCCGAAGCCCAGGGACAGAGGACAGAAGCAGACAGAGGGGTGGTAGCAGATGGTCTCTGCAGTTTTGGCTGAGGCAGAAAAGAGGGATTTTCTTCAGAGCACCCTTCTCTGATGGAACTCCCCTCCTTTCCACCTCCTGTGAGTGGTTTCAGGCTTGTGCAAGGGGAGAGGCTCTGGGGACGCTGCATCCTCTCAGTCTCTGCGGAAGCTGGCGAGCAGGCAGGCAGGGCGTGGTTCTCCAGAGTAGGCCCTGGGTCCCTGAACAAGGGCTGCTCTTGCCTTGATGGTTTCCTCTGGGGACAGTGAGATGGCCTGGGTACTCTGTTTCACACTGGGTTGCAGAGTGGCTCAGAATCTGAGTTTAGCCCAGAGATGTCCTTTGTCGTTCATTCATTCAACAAACCTTTACCCAAACACTGCTTTACGGGAGGTGCTGTGGTGGGCACAGATGTGGTCACTGCCCTGGTGGAACTTTCCATCTGCGCACACTGGAGCTATCATTCAAATGACTGCACAGCAAGGGGACATCACGGCACTAAGTGGGGAGGACAACAGTGCCCTGTGCATGCAGGACGGGGGACTTCATCTAGCCTAAGCAGCAGAGGAGGCACTTGCAGAGAGACAAGCAAGAGCAGCCTGAGGGTAGGAGAACTGGCGGCACCAGCACAGAAGCAGAGGAGGGGGAGGCCCAACTGAGAAGCCTCTCGCTGCGACTCCTGGCTTGCTGGTTGGCAGTCAGGGATGGAAAGGCGTGGCCCTGTGCTGTGCCCCGCTCTAAGTAATGCTAGCTCCCTCTCCCCTCCCTGTGCCGAACTCCCTCTGGGGACCCCAGATTTCTACAGCAAAGGAGCTGCACAGGCTTGATCCCCTCTGTCCACTCAGGGCCCCAAGCCTCAGCCATCAGTCTTCAAGGAAATGCCAAGGCCTCTCTCTCCTCCCCACATCTGCCCCTCACAGGACCTTCCCAGCCCCTAACTACTTCCTCCTCGCACCAGCCTTCCAGAAAGAGGCAGAGGCTGAGCCGCGAAGAGCTGGCCTCCTCAGCAGCTCCCAGGGGTGCTCGGGGTGGATCTGAGTGTCTTAGGGGGGGAGAGGGAGCGGTGGGGAGCTGGGGAGGGGACTGCCCACCCAAGGCGGCGTAGAGCCCAGAGCCTTTTCCATCACAGACACCCCATCTGTC